AATAATATATAATAAATATCAGCTGTAGCTGTCAAGAATCACTGTGTTAAATATGCTGTACAGAGTTAGTCTTTGCAACACTAAAGATATAAGCTAAAAAAAAAAAAAAAAAAAAAAAAGCACAAAAAAATCCTAGGAGCATTGGGTCCTGAGGGCATAAGCAGAAACTCAGCCCCTGCACCGCACTGTAGCAAAACGCAATTGCAGCTCTGTAACATAGCAGCATTACTGCCTTATAACCTAAAAAGAACATTACTCCATTTGAACTGAATATTTGACCTGAGGCTGCCAACTGTAATGATTTACAATGAGCAAAGCACTATTTCCTGAACAGAAGGAGAATCAAATGTTTCCTTTGTTCACAGGTTCGAGACTTTTCCCACCAACTATACATTAAAAGTTCCATCCTTTACAGACTTTTCACAAGCCTATGTGCCCTAAGTTTGTTATTCTGTTTTCTCAGTCTTTCATTTTTTTAGTGGCAGTTATCACCATCTCCTCACACTCAGTTCTACTGCTTCAATTTAAGTCCTTCATCCCTGAATTTACCAGATCAAAGAATTGACCTTTGGCTGTATAGCTAGTTACTATTTCCAGCTCTAGTGACACATTTTTCCAGATCCCTAATGACCCAGGTTTCTATTAAGAAATGACTTTACAGCTATTCAGTGGATTTATTTATGTACATGAAAAACTGCTACTACCTCATCAGTTTCAATAAATTTCCTCCACCACGAACAAAACCTAGAATTCCTTCAGCATCCCAAGAAGCTATTATGTCACTGAAGATTACCTAAAGGGCAGAATATTCAGGAATATATTTACACTGCTCAGATCTCCTGGTGCATCTTGAATTGCTCAGTGACAGCTGAATATTTAAATAACATAAAACAGAAGACTGGCTTCAGAATTTTATCCTGGTACAGATTTTCTGCATGTTTATCTAGCTCCATAGAGATCCCTCATCCAGTGACAGGACAAGAGGCAATGGTTACAAACTGAAATACAAGAAATACTCATCTGAAAGAGGTTATGCAGAGAGGTTGTTAAGTCTCCATCCCTGGAGATATTCACATCCCAACCAGAAATGGGCCTGAGCAACCTGCTCTATTGACCTTGCTTTGAAAAGAAACGACCTCCAGAAGTGCTTGCCAACCCCAGCCCTCCTCAATAAAACTTACAGATGCCAGTCTGCAGACACAGTGCTGCACAAAAATCCTCATCTTTAAGTGGTAAGCAGTTGTCCGAAGTGCACGTGTAGTCATCCTATTGTATTTTTAATCAGCTGTATCAGAGTTTATTCCTTTCTCTCAGTTTTTCCTCTTATAAAGAAAACCAGGGAATTGCAAGGACATCCAGTCATAAGTTTTCATCTTTTGTTGAAATTCAACATTACCTCTCTCGTTATCTCAGCACACACCTCTTCTTGGATGTCTGGATTACTGCCTTTTAGATAATTCACTCAGTACCTCCAAATTCCCTTCTGCAACCCAGCAGATCATGCTGAGCAAGTCAAGCACTCAGAAACCACGTACTCCATCTTTCCTTCGAGGTAACTTTCCTTTCAGGTCTCTCCCAATTCCTGCATTCCTTAAGTTCTACAATTCATTCAAAAACTCTTAAAAAACACATGTAAACACTATAGCCTGTGTTGAGTAGTTGAGAGACTTGGCCTTTTTATTTGACTGCCAAAACAGAACGATAGAGAAGAAAGAAACTATCCAAGGAGTATCAGTCACAAAAATATTTTCAATGTTCACCCCACTCCTACACACACTTTGATTAACAAGGCAGCTAGACAGAGTCAAGCAATATCTCATATAGCTTACAGTGGCTTATATCTGATCTTTGTCAATACCCACTGTATGTTCAAAGCCACTCGGTATATTTAAAAATAAGGCATAAAAAATTAATCATAACTTAAGACACATCTCAAATCTAACCAGATAAATCTTTTCACAACAACTTAAGAAAAATTCTCCATCAATAGAAGACTTGCATAGTCTGCAACTTGATCTCTTTGGGCCTCCAGTTTCAAAGAATTTTCAAGCAGGGTGAATCGCAAAGGTAAGTTAAAATTTATTTTAGGTTATTACATTTGTGAAATGCCATGAGAATTATCAAAGATGTACCCTGTAGAAGTCTGGTCACACCAAAAAGTACCTTTGCCTCTTGCTCCAGGAAAGGAGAGAAATCAAATGAACTAGTAAAAAGTTAAACTCAGCAGGGAACATTTTTATGGTAGTTACAGAACTATGATCCCCCTGAAGTCAATTGGTAATGCATCAGTTCTACTTAACAGAACTTGGCACAGAGCACAGTTTTCCACTGCTCATTCTGAGTACCAGCTCATGAAATTCTACATCTCTCACTTCCATATGGCTGCATTTTAGCAAGATTATGCTAAATAAAATATATTCTTTCATATCTTCGCATCTCATTGTGAGCATTTAATTGATCATAAATAATGAGTCAAGCTGTATTCTCTATACCTTTTTCTAGGGTTCTGTTTTCCACTCCATGTTCACATTCTCTCTCAACAAAGCCTAACAGGGCAGGATCTATCTTAGCTCTTCAGTGAGAGGCTTTCCACTGATTTCGGCAGATTCTGTATCAACCTTCTACTGTCAAGTTTATAAAATAATTTCTCTTATAAATTTGTAGCACATAATTTACTGTGTTTCATTTGGCTCCTGCCAAGGAACTTGGGATACAAATTATTTTCAGGTACAGTAGGAGACACAAATTTATTTAAATCAATAAAAAGAGAGACCCACAAATAAAGAGCAAAAATGTACACACCTCACTCTGGTAAATACAGTAATGTGTTTATAGAAATGCTGGGTTTTGCGCATCTTCTACAGCAAGGCAAAGTACAGCTAGGTACACAGAAACACGAACAATGCACAGCATGACACAAGCATCTACGTAAACTGTGACCAAACTGTCCAAGAGTCTTAGAGATGGCTTTCCCTGGCACAAATAAAACAAGAATTGTGAAAGAACAGGTGTAGTTATAGGCATATACAGTACAATAATTATTTAAGTAGCCAGGAAGTCATGCAACATTTTCCCAGCAGAGAGAAAAGTTAATTGCATGTGGTCTTTCAAGCAAGAGATTGATTAAACACAACAGGAAACTAGAAATATGCCTCTGTCAAAAATCTGTCCCAGTAGGAACTGCCTTAAGATAAAATCATCTTTGCTTGTCTATAAGATGATCATTCTCTTGTCAAATCTAGAAACTAAGCAATAACCAGACCGCCTACCCAGTGATTAATATTTCCAGCATATAGTTGTATTCTTTTACTCAGTATCTTACCACGTAATCTTAGGTGTCTTCAACTAGAGGGCATGGCAAGTAATTTATTGGCTTAATTTAGCTTTATGTAAAGCAGAGGGATTATATGAAAGCAAATTTAAAAAGAGCATAAAAAGCAGGAAAATGTTTGCCATTTTGCTTGTTCGCTTTGTTGGCTTAGCCATAGGGATATGTTGATTCTTCTTTTGTATGGGGATTTATTTTCCCTATAAAGCACTTAACAATGTTCACTGCTCAGCAGAAGGAGATTTCAAAAATATGTTAATTAAATGTTGACAGGAATCTCTGTGGACGCCCACAAGAGCAAGATGCTCAGGAAATGTCTGCTAGGATCTCCAAATTTGTGCAGATAGACTAATTTCGATCACATATTTCTGTATTTATTTTTATGAATCAATGCCACATCAATTTTCTATGGCCATTTATTCCAAATTATTATGCATGGAATCCTGCCAGAAAGGGATTCACAGCACTGACCAAGCTGTTGCACGAGCCCTAGTTAATGAATTTAAAAATACTGCTTACAGTTTTCTTAGTTTATAAGAAAGAATTATGAAGACAAGTTGTAGTTCCTTCTGTGTACTTTTTTCCCCTTGAATCTACCAGTAATAAAAAACCCACTTTCATTCAGGCATCCCTTTTTGTGGAAGGGACTTTGTTAGAGGTGTTTCAGGACAAAAACTATCACATCCCCCTATATAATAGAATGATAGTCCATTCCAGAGGATAGTGGAATTATCTTCAGACAAGCTAGATTGGGTACTACTAGCAGTGGCAACGCAGAACCAGAACAGGGCAGGTAAATGCACTACAGTTTTGCATCTCAGCATACTAGAAATATGATCAGGAGGTAGAAGCTGTCTTTGTGCACTATCCAGAACAATTCCTTAGCCAACGTCAATCTGATCTTCTCAGGTACCACATGTATCACCAGTGAAAATGCTACACAGTGAAATGGCACAGATTACAGTCTCCACTGTGATCAATACACTGCTGCCATTTTTTCCCATAGGATTCTTGCAGAAATCATTAAATATGCTTTCTTTTCAAGCAAATACGTCTTTCCCTAGATAAGACATGCAAATACTGGTAATACTCTTATTTCCCAAGACAATAGTTGTTCTGCAATAAAAAAAAGATCTGTGTGTCTACGTCTCAATTTGTATAGCAGTACAAATAAATTATGTCACCCTGCTATCAAATCACTAATAGAAACTCAGTCTTATCAGGTGTTCTGTAACTTCAACTTCTAATAATATCACAAGAAGATAACGAGATTTACATTCAGAAAGAAGGGGTTTGACATATATTCAGTGTTTTTAAAGGTGGCACATACATAATATAAACAACAATTGTGAAGGGATACCCTGAGAAGAATAACAGAGAAATAGGCAAAATAAGAGACCTACAGTCCATTACAGATTGCGAATACAATTCTTCTAACTGCTGCAAGGAAAAAAGCCCAAATCCCTAACAATTCCTATATTGGCCAAAAGGAAAATGAAAATCACAAACATAGGGAAGTCTGCTCCAGTACAGTGTTTGGGTCCAAGCAGAAAATGGGCATAAGGAATGAATACTTGCTGACATGACAAAATGTTTTTTTCTCAACATCACAGCTTGACAGCCAAAGCTCTGCAGGCCTATATCAAAGCCAAAAGCAATTAAGTGTACTTACATGTACTCCCTGTGTGCAGAATGTACAGCAGCTGCGTTGCTGTAACGCCACAAAACTATCGCTGATGACAAAACATCCAGGGTAGCATCAAACTGAAAGAGATACAGAGTCAATAGTTTTGTGGGCCAATAACATGCCCACAAATACTAACAGCAACATATTTACCATCCTGCTGCACATGACAAAGCAGCTTCAAATAAATCATTTTAATGAAAGTAGGATTTACGTTCATTAAATTGATCTTGCCATGTATTATTGCACAATGATACACTTCAGAGCTCATCCAGTCGATCAAGAGATTAAGAACTTTCTACTTGTAATCCATGATCTGTGGAGGAGTTAAAAAAAAACAAACAAACCTGACACCATGGCACCACAAGAGTTAAAAAACTATAAATATGATTCATATGCAAAGATTCTAAATGAAAAGTGTTTGAAAATGCCTGACAAATATTTCTTTTCCCTGAAAATTCATGAATTTTCTTCAGTAGGAGGTTTTGTTTCAAAGCAAAAAACATTTGACTGTGTCAAAATCCCATTTTGTCAAGATTTCATATTTCTCTATTTCACTCTTAAAACAGAGAATGTTTGTATTTCCAGCAGATAAAGAAATGACTTTAGGTAATATCCAAAAATTTCAAAAAAAAATGTTTGAGCCACTATAAAAACTTTCATATCCATGTCAAATTTTCTACAGGTCCATCTATCTTTCAAATTTGAAAGTAAATACTAAAGTGTTTGAAATCAGGCACTGTGCATGTCATAAGGAAATTTTTGCTCTGCCACTGATCAGGAGAACCATGGCAACAGTTAGAGAAGGAAAATGTCATCCCAAAGTCTGCTGTAGTTTTAGCCTAGCTTTCCAATAGGAAGGACATGCAAAGTTCAGAAGGAACTTCAGAATTTTGCTCAAAGTTTAACAAGAGAACAGAGTAAGCTGATAGATTTTGTAAAAGATAGCCATATCTGGTGGATAATTTCTACCAACTATGAGATATAAATATTAAGCCTTTGCAGCCAGAAACCAAACAATTAGAATTGAAAATATTTCCATTGTCCCTTCCAAAGTTCTACTTCAACAATAATTTTTCTAATCCACCATTGAATTTGTACACGTTACCATGAACTTACAAAAAAAAAAAAAAAGTATTTTGTGTTCAGAAAGAGTACATGGGAAAAAACAGTAGAGAATATTTAACTCTTATTTCTACTTACAGCAAATCCAAATGATGATGCACTGTATCTCATTACGGAGACAGCTAAAGGAAAGAAAACATTATTTAGAATCATTTAAACTTTTTTTTTTTTTTTTTTTTTTTTATCTTTTCTTCTCTCAGCTGGAACCTAGAAAACTAGTTTCAACACATGGACTTAGTTTCACCCAGCTGCCACTAGAATGACCTGACCAACACTTAAAAAGGGGTACAAGACCTAGAGATCACTCAAGAGATGCTTTTCTTTCTTTCAAAACAGTAGTGGTATAAAGTTCAGCAGAGCATTCAGAAACTGGTGTTTATGAAGCAAGCTGTCTCTCTGATGAGGTTCTGAGTAAAATAACAATTTCAGAAAAATTCACATCCCTAAGTGCTTTTTGCTCCACCAAGGCACAAAAGCCCACCTGACCACCAGCTGGCTGACATGAAGTTATGCAGGTCCATTCAGACACCTTGTTTGTCATCTTTTTGCCTAAAAGCCTACATGTTATTCACACAGAAATGTTTCAAATTCCATTGAATCAACGATTTCCAAAAGCATTAGTAGTAAGGGGAAACATTTTAACCAGCTTACTTTTGATAGCATTTTGCCTCTAAAAATAAATTGACTCCTTAAAAATAGACTAAAGTTTAGGAGGAAAAAAGGTGTCATTTAGATCATTTGATTCTATGCATCCTAGTTCCACCATCTCAGTTTCCAGTTGTAGATAGTAGTCTAGCAAAAAAAGAAACAAAAAACCCACCCCCAATAGCACAGATGAATCCCAATAAAGAAGCACAGAAGAGAAAATGCCATCACTTTGATCTGGGACTGCATCAAACTGCTGTTGGAGGCCAACAGCACTGCTATGGCTATGAGCAAGCCCCCAGGCACCGAGCAGCTGCGGTTTCCTTGCTGCATTTTGCAGACTGAGGGTTGAGAGCAGGACTAACTGAACCCGTTCTCCCTTAAAATGCACACAGCACTCCAGTTCCAGTACTACAATTGACTATGAATAAAGCACAGGATTAATTTTACCACTTTTTCCACCAACAGCTATCTGCTCATTTACTATTAAAAATACATTTTCATAAAAATAAAAATACTTGAGCTAAAAAAAAAAGACTCATCAACAACTGTCAGTTTCAGGCTGACAAAAGCAATGGCTAGTTTTCAGTATTTCATCATTCATTAGAACAGCTTGGCAGGACAGAGCTGCTGTGGTATGACTGTTCTTTTCAGTAATTGCAAGCTACAGCTCTGTGGTACTTATCTGGATAAATAGCAATTAAAATCTTGGAATAAATAACCCTTTGTTTATTCATCTAACAGTTAGCTCTGGACACATGCATGCCATATATCACAAATATTTAGACTCTCTTGATACAAAACATGAAGAAAAGTCAAGTTCCTTCCCAGGTTCACTTTTTCTCAGTTGTAAAGTATTCAGACAGTAAGGATGGATTTACATCTCCCTCTCACTACTAAATCAAGACTTCCCACCCTTCATCTCCTAGGTGAAAAAAAAGCCTCTATTTCTTGGTCAGACTTGCCAGGCAAGAGCTACACTTGACAAGCTGACGTGAGCCTGCAGTGTTCCAGCTGCAAGTTTAAACACTTCATGGCATAAAAATATGTTTCCCATCAGATTTCCATTGCATGCTTCCCTAGAGACATACAGCTTCAAAAACTGCAGAAATCGCACCACCAGAACTGGGCATTCACAGGTACACACAAGGTTGTCCTGTTCTGGGAGTTATTGCCTTTGTACTCTAACATTCATTCAAAGCCATACTTTCCTCTTATTTCTATTTCTAGACTGCCTTCAAAGTGGAATTCGTTAGCCTCTTGCTGGCTAGCGAGTAAGAGTGACAAAAAGACTTCCTGAGGGCTGGTATCCCTAGCAATCCCTTGGTAAAAGGCTAAAATAAAAGGCCAAGTTCTAGAGATCACTGGCAGAAGGGCTAGGGACACTCAGTCCTTGTGCCTTCAGTGTAACTGCCATGCTCCATGAGTTACACATAGCATTGCAGGAATAGATTAAGGAGCTCTTGCTGAACCCTCATCCCACCCCTTCCTTTCTCCTCAATGCACATTCTCAGTTATTCTCAGATGAGCCGCTGATGTTAAAAGAATTTAAAAAAAAAATTAAAAGGCTCCTAATCTCCATAATAAATCAGGATGACAGGAAACAAGCAATAAGGAAAGAGTAGCAGGTAGCTTAGGTAGCTTAGAAGTCCTGTGGAGCCACAGTATGCATTTAGCAGCTACACTGACATGTCGGTGGGAGCCTGCTTTTAGCTATTCTATTGGCTAAACTGGACAGCATTTTATTACCTCTACAACAAGCAGATAATCCTAATGCATTTTCCTGACATTTGTAAACAGAACTTGCAAGCGGTCAGAAACTAAAAATAGAGGCAGCACAGTAAGCCACAAATCTACCACTGCTTCTACCTGTACAGCAACATCAATTTGTGAGGTTTGCCAAAGCACAGGTCAAATTTTCCTATAATTCCTTTATTCCCTCCAAACTAATTCCAAATGAAGAATAATACTCCCTTAACCACAAATTTCTTTCATTCCTGTTCCTACGTGCCTCAGAAAAATCCTATGCCCTAACAAAGTGGCACCAACATAACTGCCTGGTTTCCTGTTAGCCTTTGTCAAATTTAACCATCTCAAATGCGTTCCCAGAGATCCTGCACTCACAGGAACCCTGGGGCTCTCTGTTATCTGTGTAGGGAGAGCACCTGGTACCTTTTTGTACAAACAGATAAAGCACAAAAAAGGACAGAGAATTAACTGTGCCTCCGGTTCTCCCAGCCAGACATCTTTGTTTTGCAATGAATGGTTCACACAAGCACCTCCTCTGTCTGTCAGAAAGTCTTCTATTACCTACTTGGAAAGGGGACACTATTTCTAGGAAGTTCTTTTCGGTGGGACATCAATCTAGCACGTCCACCTTAACCTTAATCTTTTGACAAACACACCTGTGTGCCTGCACATAAAATGCTGGGGCTTCAAAACTCATGACCTTCACTTAGCAGAAATCAGTTGACAATTTAAACATCACTGAAAATGTCAGGTTTATTACTATTGTAGCACTCTGCATATCTTGCAGGTTGTGCAGAGCAGAGCGTGAGGACTGGAAGCTGTACTGCATCAGAACTGAAACACAGCCTGTTTTTATCTCCAGTGTCAGTAAAACATCAATAATAAATACTTCAAAATAAATCCATTCCAAACCTGGGAAACTAAATGAGAAATACCTTTTTAAGAAGCCACAAAAAAATTCCCCCCACAACAACCAAAGCAAAGAACAATCACAGCTCTATTACCATTAAGACTTGACATAAATTCAGCTGATGAGTGCCAGGACCAGCTGCTACACACATATTTCCCCAGGTACCTTTTTTCCCCACACACAGAAATTTTACTACAGCAAACTAAATGGAGTTTCATGCACACACCCACAGTTCCTGCAATATTCTACAAATAACTATGGCACAGCCAGGATCTCAGAGATGACACTGCCAGACATTTAATCTGCATGGGCAGAGCCAGTGCCATCCATCAGTGTTATGTACATGTCATCAGTGGCAACAACATCAATGGCATATCTTCCATTCCATACACTCAGCTAATAGAATTTTTTGTTTGTTTGTTTTAATCTATTGCAATGATAAAATATTTAGCAACTACAGATTTCCATTACATTCTTGACTTCAGTAAACTACAATATTGTGTATCAATTATTTTCCCAATTTACTAATGAAGAAACAGTTCTGTCTCAGAGCATTGTGAATTGTTTAACCCAAAAAATTACATTCTATTTGCTGACATCTTAGAAAAAATAATTATTCTTCTTACCTCTGATTCTCAGACTTCTTTTTCTGAAACCATTTATTTTTCAGAGCTTCAATTTCATAACTTTTAAATAATCTACTTTTTTTGGTTTTTTCAAAGAATTAAACCAATGAGCTCTCCCTTAATTCCCTTTGTTCACACATTTTCTCAGGGTATTTTTCTTGCCACTGCATCACTGTCTTATGGTAAAGGACCATGAGACTTCCATTTCCAACATTAAATAGCCACAGCTTTCAAGCAGGCAGTGTGGATATAGTTATCCCAAAATGACTATTCTGTACACCATGATGCTCGCCAGTTGTAGCAATCTCAAACAGCAAAGCTGTCTAGACATAAAGTTTACTTTCTTGATTCACTTCTGTATAATTTGCCTTCATGTTCCTATCTAGTACCAGAAGAGAACCTTGCACCAGGGGAGGGTCAGGCTGGGTGTCAGGAAAAGGTTCTGAGCAGAGAGTGGATGTGATCATGGAACAGGCTCCCCAGGGCAGTGATAACAGCCCCAAGCCAGAAAAGTTCAAGAAGTGTTTGGACAGTGCTTTCAGACGTAGGGTTTGGATTCTGGGGGTTTCCTGTGTGCAGCCAGGAGTTGGGTTCAATGATCTTTGTGGGTCCCTTCCAACTTCAGATATTCTGCAGTTCTGTGATTCATGCTTTCACTGGCATGTGCCACCAACGAGTACATCAGCTCTGGAACTTAGCAGGGCTGAACTATGCTCTCTGGTTTTTAGATCGTGAACTATGAAACAATCCTACTGCAAAAAAAAACCAATGAATTACTTTACAAATGATGAAAAAGTTATCCATGTGGAGAGAACAATCAATCACTTTTCTCTAGTACACACCAGACAATTCCCAAGAGTGTACCAGTAATGTGAAAAGCAAGCAAACAGTGAGTGACAAAGGGACGCAGATCAAGAGTAAATCAGTTCCAGATTTCAGAAGTAGTAATGTCTCTTTTAACAGCTGCTGAAATTACTTCCATAAACAAGCCTTCTCTGACACGCTTTGGTGCATATAGCACTAAAACCTGATAAATCAAATACACCACAGCAGTCAATGGTTCATGTCACTCTTTCAAGCACAATAAGGCTAAATTACATGAGGTAAGGGAAAGCTTTTTGAAAAAAGAAAAAAGAAAAAAACAAAACACAAAGAAAAAATGAAAGTAGGCAACTCCAGAAAGGCAGAATTA